TGAGTGATGGAAATTGAACCGCTCCAGTGCATTTCAGAACCGACGGCGTTGTCTTTCCCTTGCGTTGCCGAATTCTTGAAAATGATATATGATATCAGAGCTCTTATATGGAGCCATGTACCCAGGCCTGTCTGCGAAACCAAAGTCAACTAGGTAGTATTTACCGTTCGCAGGTTGGGGAAAATTGATTTCCTGACTATGCACAGCACGGGCCAAAATTCGACTATCGTGTATGTTCCTGCTGGTTCCCGGCAGCACAAACGTAAAACAAAGATTGAAATCACAGGCGGCCAGTACATTCTGGGTTGGAATCCCCTTTCTTCCAATGTAGTTCTCTCTTACATTGCGTGGCAGCACGACTCGTACATGAGTTCCGTCTATCGCACCAATGCAATCCTGTAATAATAATATGTATGATTATGAACACAACGTTATAAATAAGCATATTACATATTCTACGATCTACAGCATGGACAAAATAACCTGGAATAGAGGATATCGTTCCACGTTAGGATGATGGTGAGCTGCTCCTTCATTGTAACGCGGATCTGGTTTAATTGTGGTTGCCGCGAAAGCCACGCATGCACGTAGGACTGTCTTAAAGTAATGGCTGATCGTCTGCAACGAATGATCGAACAACGTTTGGACTTGCCGATATCCTTTGTCGTGTGCTAGAATACACAAGAACATTCCCACCTATTCGTATATGTCAATGTTTGCGCTGCTGCAAAGTTCGTACTCGTCGCGAAGTATGTGCGTGAAGTACATAAACATTGGCGGGTACATCCTGAACTCCTGGAAGCACATTTGTGGATGCACATGCAAATTTTGTAGCATAAAAATGTGCCCGCATCGCTTTGTCGGGAATAAAAACCCACGTGCTCTATTTGGTGCCAAGTACTCGCGAACAATTCGCTGTGCGATTCTACAGTACCGAAGCCAAGTGTTAATGTCATCCCCTAACTGCTCCATCAGATCTTCATCTGAACTTCTATTTGAATCAGACATTGACTGAACGTCGNGCATGCTACAATTCCTTTTTTTTTTCCAAATGCACATTATTACTTTCACGTTTGTGAATAAATTTTTCAAAAAAACAATAGGGTATAGACTACAGGGAAGAAATAATTGTGTTTGAAATTTCTTGCATGATACAATTTTTTTTTTTCCAAACGCACATTATTACTCCCACGTTCAACTTTTTCAAAAAAGAGTAGGGTATAGGATGCAGGGAAGAAACAATTGTGTTTGAAATTTCTTGCATGCTACATTCCTTTGTTTTTGGTCCAAACGCACATTATTACTCCCACCCTTGTAATTAACTTTAAAAAAAAAAACGATATAAACTGTAAGGAAGAAACAATTGTGTTTAAAATTTCTTGCATGCTACAATTCCTTTTTTTTTCCCGACGCACATTATTACTCCCACCATTGTGATTAACTTTTTCAAAAAAATAATAGGGTATAGACTATAGGGAAGAAACAATTGTTTGGTATCAATACGCATATTATTTTGCTCCCACTAAGTTGCATAACTTTTTCAACAAAACAATGGGCCATGGACTGAAAGGAATATATTCCCATCAACTTGAATTTGAAGTTTTGTTGATACAATTGGTTGAGTAAAAAGAAAAGGACAAATCAGTTATTCAAATAATTATTACTCCTGTGGTTTAAGTTTTATAAATGACAACTGCACGAGAAAAACAATTTATTTCATGACTCAAAACGTAGAGTTCTTAATTCTTTCATACACTCCATCCAATTTGCGACCAAGTATTTGATACGAATATTTGAAATTTATGCATAACATAAACTAGTTCCAAACGATGTCCGATACTTTAGATGTGTACGCATCTTCAGAAACAGACAGCGACGTTCAGTCAATGTCTGATTCAAATAGGAGTTCAGATGAAGATCAGATGGAGCAGTTAGAGGATGACATTAACACTTGGTTTCGGTACTGTAGAATCGCACAGCGAATTGTTTGCGAGTACTTGGCACCAAATAGAGCATGTAGGTTTTTATTCTCGACAACGCGATGCGGCCACATTTTTATGCTACAAAATTTGCATGTGCATCCACAATTGTATTTCTAGGAGTTCACGATGTAACCGCCAATGTTTATGTACTTCACGCACATACTTCGCGACGAGTACGGACTTTGTAGCAGCGCAAACATTGCATATACGAACAGGTGGGAATGTTCTTGCGTACTCTAGCACACGAAAAAGGATATCGACAAGTCAAAACAGTCATTCGTTGCAGAAGTTCAGCCATTACGTTAATACGGTCATGCGTGCATGCATGGCTATTACGGCAACCACGATTGAACCAAATCCGCGTTACAATGAAGGGGCAACTCAACATCATCCTAATGTGGAACGATATCCTCTACTCCAGGTTATTTTGTTCATGTTGTAGATCGTAGAACATGTAATGTGCTTATTTATAACGTTGTGTTCCTAATCATACATATTATTATTATAGGATTGGATTGGTGCGATAGACAGAACCTATGTACGAATCGTGTTTCCACGCAATGTAAGAGAGAACTATTTGCACTACCACAGCTATTTGCATTCTTATATTATACCCAGGCATTCTATCAAAATTATCTTCCATCACTGTTTCCAAAATCGAAGGCACGCTCAATAACGTTACGGCATGATGAGTGATGGAAATTGAACCGCTCCAGTGCATTTCAGAACCGACGGCGTTGTCTTTCCCTTGCGTTGCCGAATTCTTGAAAATGATATATGATATCAGAGCCCTTATATGGAGTCATGTACCCAGGCCTGTCTGCGAAACCAAAGTCAACTAGGTAGTATTTACCGTTCGCAGGTTGGGGAAAATTGATTTCCTGACTATGCACAGCACGGGCCAAAATTCGGCTATCGTGTATGTTCCTGCTGGTTCCCGGCAGCACAAACGTAAAACAAAGATTGAAATCACAGGCGGCCAGTACATTCTGGGTTGGAATCCCCTTTCTTCCAATGTAGTTCTCTCTTACATTGCGTGGTAGCACGACACGTACATGAGTTCCGTCTATCGCACCAATGCAATCCTGTAATAATAATATGTATGATTATGAACACAACGTTATAAATAAGCATATTACATATTCTACGATCTACAGCATGGACAAAATAACCTGGAATAGAGGATATCGTTCCACGTTAGGATGATGGTGAGCTGCTCCTTCATTGTAACGCGGATCTGGTTTCATTGTGGTTGCCGCGAAAGCCACGCATGCACGTAGGACTGTCTTAAAGTAATGGCTGATCGTCTGCAACGAATGATCGAACAACGTTTGGACTTGCCGATATCCTTTGTCATTTTGTCGTGTGCTAGAATACACAAGAACATTCCCACCTATTCGTATATGTCAATGTTTGCGCTGCTGTAAAGTCCGTACTCGTCGCGAAGTATGTGCGTGAATTACATAAACATTGGCGGGTACATCCTGAACTCCTGGAAGCACATTTGTGGATGCACATGCAAATTTTGTAGTATAAAAATGTGCCCGCATCGCTTTGTCGGGAATAAAAACCCACGTGCTCTATTTGGTGCCAAGTACTCGCGAACAATTCGCTGTGCGATTCTACAGTACCGAAGCCAAGTGTTAATGTCATCCCCTAATTGCTCCATCAGATCTTCATCTGAACTTCTATCTGAATCAGTCATTGCATGAACGTCGCAGTATGTTTCTGAAGATGCGTACACATCTGAAGTATCGGATATCGTATCGAACTAGAATATGATATGCATAAATTTAAAATATTCNTGAATCAGACATTGACTGAACGTCGCAGTTTGTTTCTGAAGATGCGTACACATCTGAAGTATCGGATATCGTTTGGAACTAGTTTATGTTATGCATAAATTTCAAATATTCGTATCAAATACTTGGTCCAAATTGGATGGAGTGTATGAAAGAATTAAGAACTCTACGTTTTGAGTCATGAAATAAATTGTTTTTCTCGTGCAGTTTCCATTTATAGAACTTAAACCACATGAGTAATAATTATTTGAATATCTGGTTGTTGAATAACTGATTTGTCCTTTTCGTTTTACTCAACCAATTGTATCAACAAAACTTCAAATTCAAGTTGATGGGAATATATTCCTTTCAGTCCATGACCCATTGTTTTGTTGAAAAAAATATGCAACTTAGTGGGAGCAATAATGTGCGTATTGATACCAAACAATTGTTTCTTCCCTGCAGTCTATACCCTATTGTTTGTTGAAAAAGTTAATCACAATGGTGAGAGTAATAATGTGCGTCTGGAAAAAAAAAAAGGAACTGTAGCATGCAAGATATTTCAAACACAATTGTTTCTTCCTTGTAGTTTATATAGTTTTTCTTTTTAAAAAAGGTTAATCACAAGGGTGGGAGTAATAATATGCGTTTGGACAAAAAAAAAAAAGAATGTAGCATGTAAGAAATTTCAAACTCAATTGTTTCTTCCCAACAGTCTATACCCTATTGTTTTTTTTGAAAAAGTTAATCACGAATGTGGGAGTAATAATGTGCGTCTGAAAAAAAAAGGAATTGTAGCATGCAAGAAATTTCAAACACAATATTTTCTTCCCAGCAGTCTATGCCCTATTGTTTTTTTTTTGAAAAAGTTAATCACAAGGGTGGGAGTAATAATGTGTGTTTGGAAAAACAAAAAAAAGAGAATTGTAGCATGCAAGAAATTTCAAACACAATTATTTCTTCCCTGCAGTCCATTGACTATTGTTTCTTTCAAAATGTTAATCATAGTGGTGGCCCTAATAATGTGCGGTTGGAAAACATATGGAATTGTAGCATGCTTTTAAACGTACGAAATTAGTGGAATCGACATGATAATTCAGATTATAACACAAAGTAGAAAATTCTACGATATACGAAGTAATAAATAAAAGGAAAATGTAACATGGGTGATGTACACATAAAATCGTCCGACGACAACGAGAAAAACATTAAGAACTCATCGCAAACGTCCGGAAGGAGAGCTCAATCCTTACGGTTAATGGACATATTCTCGCTCGAGACATTACTCGATGAATTTAAATCTCAAGGTGTCCTGGCAGCATAGTACGAGTTCCGATTGTCTTTGTCCCGTGGAACCACAAGACAAAAAGGTGGAGTCGATCACCTTCCTAAACACAGCCATACGACAAAAGTTCGTCAACGCATTCACCGATTGTCATTCCTCCCTTACGATACGAGCGCGCAATTGAAGCAAGATCCATTCCAACACGAACCATCCACTCAAGGGAAGCCGAAACCTCTCGTGCACCGAACATTTTCTTCTTTGATTGCCTCTACTCGTGCTTGGTTTTTCTTTTATCCCCACTATGGTGTGCAGATATATTCATGGAGGAGTTTGCTCAGCCTTCGACTGGGCTACCACTTGAATTTGTTGCCTCCGCGTTAATGGGGAACTTGTCACCTCCCTATTCTTCGTCGCTATCTATGCCCAATTCAAAACCACGGTGCGACAACTTTGTTGGAGACAATGCATACTTGGTCGAATCTCCAGTGTCCCCGGACAATCTATCGTACGTGTCATAAATCTAGCTGTAGTTGAAGTTCCTGTACTTCGCACTTTGGGTTCTCCTGCATAGACGAGGTAGACGACAAATAACGTTGGAGTCCGAAATAATTAGTCGCTTGTGTATGTACACGTATCAATTGGTTAAAACACTTATCAGAGTAATAATGTTCAATCAATACCAAGACAACCAACATCTTGTTCTATCAACACCGACACAACGTTCATCATGTTCAATCAGTACCAATACAACTAACATCATGTTCTATCAACCCAACCAACATCAAGTTTAATATGATATTACAAAAAACAAAAAACATCATCGTAAACTACAAATGGCATTTAGAACATGTGAGGCCCCTGTGTGTGAAAATTATTCCAAGTAACAACATTCAATATCGTTCCAGTGTACAATGTTTTACTGCCTATTAGTCCTTTATAATAATTAGGTACATATAGATGTGAACGAATACCTTAATTTTTGCTTTCCACCAATGGTTAGGGGCGTAAATTCTTCCAGTAGCCAAGCGGTACTCAATTTCATTGCATCGCAACAACTCAAACAGAAGTTTGTGATCCGTTCGCAGTTTATTCCAATAGTTCTTCATCTGCGATATAGTCTAGGCCTTCTTCGTCGAGGCGTTGAACATGTCTGATATACGATGCCATCCTTTCGAGGAGAAGCATTTGCCTAGTCGGTGGCCCTCAGCTATGACAAGTTCGCAGGTGTCGATGAATACTTTGTGCTCCAGCTGGTTGTACCTCGCCGTCTTACGCACCACTCCCGGGGCTGCCTACGACTTGGAAGAATCATGGTGCAACTTATGTGGGCTCCCACTTGTGAACCGCTGCCATAGGAAACACGCATGATGAGTCAGGTAATATTGATAAACAACTACAAATTGACAAGGCAAAAGCAGAATCCGTCTATATTACATGGGGAAGTATGCTTCTCGGGTATGATATAATTTATATAGAAGTCCATCAAATTGGAGTAATACCCATGTGCAAAAAATGACAATAGTGGTATAAACGGGTAGCAAGTTGACACAATATGCTCCTTCACAGAGATCGAATGAGAAATGGCTTACCGTTTGGTCGGAAAAACTTTGCCACTGGGATAAGTCATTTTCCATGGAATACAGTCACTAATTTGTGCTAGACACCGAAATTTTTGCCTGAGTGCCACCCGGATCGAAGCCTGGAACACTGCAGAGGAGAAGAAAGTGAAATCTCCACAAAATGGCTCTTCGATTGGGATAGTGAAAAAAGCCATATTTGTACCTAGATTTCTGAGAACTTGTTCCAATTTTTCCCCTAGTTTTGTTCGCCGTGATCTGGTCTGTTTCTGCAACTGTTGGAGAGGAGTACGTGGAAATGGGAGAGGAGTAAGTGGAAATGGGTTTTGGCCGAAATGAGTGTAGATGCAATGAAAGATGTGGGCAAAAATGAAAACATTTTACAACGGGGTGAATTGTTAAAAAATTGGGTTTCTGATAGGTTTCTTGACTTTGGGGAGCCTTGTCTGAATATACTGTAGGAGAATTAGATATATGGGCAAAAAAAGGGGTTTCAAACATGGGCGTATTGTGTAAATTGTCGGTATTTGATGGTTTAAACAAAACTTTTATAGACGTGCTTGTTTTAGCTCTTGATAATGCTAAATAAAGCTGATCATGGCAAAAAAAGGTTCTGGAATATACAAAACAACAAAATCAAGTGTTTGACCCTGTGCGTTATTTATCGTCATTGTAAAACATGGTTTAATAAGAAATCGAGTTCTTTTAAATGGAATTGCATTCCGATCACTCTTAAGAGGTATAAAAGGAATTCTCGGTAAAAAAACATGTTTTCCACAGTACTCGCCAGTTATGATTTCAGCAAGAATTGCATTTTTCTCAAATTTCGACAAGTGAGGCGTGTTCCATTGCATAACCCTTCAAAAGGAAAGGATTGATGTTTCTCATTAACATTTCTCAATAACATTACAGGACAATTTACTTTGAGCTTCAATTCATGTGGCGGAATACCCTTTGAGGTCAAACTATTTAAGAAATCTTCTTGTAGGCTCTATTCCGATCTGTCATTTGCTTAATCAAAACTATAATATGTGAAAATTTGACCTGAATTTGTTCTAGTAAAATTATGTTAATATGATCAACACATTCATTTGTAAGCGTAAGAATAACTCGATTTGTCATTGCATGTAAATTGCCAACATATACTTCTATATTTGGAAAAACATGATTCATTAAATTTTTTAAAGACATAATTTCATCCTCAAATGGTAGAATAATACTCGTTGGAAGCTTAATGCAGTTACAAGTATGTACTTGCTCCGTTTCATCTCCAATTTTAAGTAAATAATCACAAAACGTGAGATCCAAATTCGCCCTCATGTTCTCAATGGTAGGTTATATACAAAGGCCATAAGTTAGAAAAGACTAAGCTAGCTTTCATTATATCTTCTTCTTTTTTCCTTTGGGCACTACAGGTGGAACTTGTCGAAAATCTCCTCCAAGAACGACAACTTTCCCACCAAAAGGCAAATTGCAATCGGTAATATCTCTGAGCATTTTATTTACAGCTTCAACAACAGAACGATTTACCATAGGAGCTTCATCCCAAATTGCAATCGGTAATATCTCTGAGCATTTTATCTAGAGCTTCAACAACAGAACGATTTACCATAGGAGCTTCATCTCTAATTATTAACTTAGACATTTTTAATAAAGTTCCTAAACCTGATTGTTTGCTAATGGAGCAGCTAACTTCACCAACTGTCTCTAAAGGAATTTTAAATTTTGAATGAACTATCCGACCTCCAGGTAATAGAGATGCAGATACTCCAGAAGATGCAGTTGCTAAAGCAATTAAATTCTGAGACCTCACACCAGCAATGAGTACTTTATATAAAAAAGTTTTGCCTGTCTCACCTAGACCATCGATGAAGAAAGCACCACTCGATTCCGATTTTACTTTCCATAATTGCATCGTATGCAAATTGTTGTTAATTATTTAAGTTTTCTGCACAAACATACCCTCCTTCAATATCTAAATTAGTTGTCTCCTCTTATGACCATTCTTCCCAACCTTTCATTCTCATCTATATTTACACTAAAATGTACTATTCCATAATCAGTTATGTTTTTACCTAATGATTCTATAACAGAACTAATGTCTTGTAGAGCCCGTAGTTTAGTAACTTCCACAGGTGTATTTTTATGTACATAATCATCAATCATATAAGCTATGAATTTATCCCATAGTAGCTTTGGATTATCAGGGTTACAAAGTATAAGAAATGTAGCAAATAGACATCTTAAAGAAACTGGCATTTTATAAATAATAGTTTCAGATA